AGCTTCTAAGAAAGGTAATCATTGTATATCATAAAGAAAAATAATTATTAGGAACAACAATAGTAGTTATAGATCATGGGAGTTTTTTTTTTCTGTTTGCTATGGACTCTTTGCATCTTTTACTTTAACATCTAGTAGTATCCACGTCTGTGATACCGGTGTATATAGATAACTGAGCTAACGCAGTGTGGCAGAAATGTTCTAACGATGTTATGTATGATTTACTGGCTAATTCATGATCGTCTGATACACTGTTTTTAAGCAGTTACAATCATTTGCTGTTATGCATCATCAAAATTTAATCTTCTGGGTTTTTTTTTTCAGAAGGTTCGGCTCTTCTAACATAGGAATATTGGCATAATTATGACATTAAATGATACAATTTACTGTTGTCATGTTGAGCTTGTGCAGTCACCTCACACTGCAACGGTATTTTACTTTAAAATGATTATGTATCATTGAAAAACAACACTGTTTTATTTAGTAATAATTTTTATGATTCAGAAACTTGGTAAGCGCTTTTTCTAAAGATAAATGCACTCTCTTCCAAAATAAGGAGAATTCAATTGTTTTGTTTGTAACTGTGAAAATCTAAAGTACGCAGGCTCAGTTTATCCCCGTGGTACTGGAAGCTGAAATTGGCTGCATATTTTTCCCTTGTTTTTGTATATATAACATTGTGAAAATAATATATGCATGCTTAGGACTTGATTCTATGACATTTACCAAGTGCAGATGAACTGGGCATCAAGCCTGCAACATCATACTGATGAGAATATGCTCCCCATGCCAGGTCAGTGAACAAAAGCTCTTCACATGAGCAAGGCTATAAGAACAGGCAACAGGAGGTGATAAGGTCAGTCGTGAGTTTTGGCTGAGTCATGGTTGGAGGATAAGGCCCTTACGGATCCTATAAATACCTCATTATCAAAGGAGGTCAGATGATAGAATTCTGAATGTATTTTGGAAAAAGAAATTTCCGCGTGACTAATGAAGTACACCCTCTTTGTTTGTTAATGTGGCACTTATTGGAACTAATGTGTATAATAAATTAAAGATATTTTTAGCATGTGCCAGGGAAATGCATTCAGATTTGAGAGACTAATCTGAATATATTTGAATTGCTGTGTTGTATCAAAGGAAAGGTTGTTATGATACAAATAAGGTATTAAAAACTAGTTTCTACGGATTCCAGTGGAAACAGGAAATGAGGCAAATGATACAAGTATGGGATTTTGTCATCTAACTCACATCAGCTAACAGGGCATACCTGGACTGTGCTTATTGTAAGTGGGAAGAAGCACAGGCCCCGTGGACAACTAACCCAATCCCCAGGTTGTGGTTTGGCAGAAATGGAAGAGGTCCTAACTGTGCTGCAGCACTGAGACCTGCACTGCCCCAAGGACCTTTGCCCAGCACCAGTGGTTCATTCCCACTTCTGTACAATATTTTTGTGGGTATAAAGGTTTCCTCCATCAAGGAGGAAACTTGATGGGTAGGTGATATTACAAAGACCACCTTCTGCTTTCTTCTCTCAGGGTTCTTTTTCAGTTGGATCACTTCTCTGGTCTGGAAGCCATGCCAGTGGTGGTGGCCAGGCAACGGCCAAGAGCAATGCTGGGCGAAAACGACTGTTTCTTTCACACCAGAAGCAAAAGGAAAATGTTAGAAAACCTCCAGCAAAGGCTCTGAATGTGCTGTGCAGCTCTGCCACTTCACTGCTGCCAGTACGGGGAGGTCTCCTATTCTTCTGTTCCCTTCCCTGCTGCCAGCTGCACATTAACTGTACTTCCTTGTACAATAACTGCACTTGTAAAAGCCTTCTGTGACCTGAGACACCTTAATGACATGGCAGAAAACTAAATCATTAAATAAAAATCAACAGACTTCGTGAGTTAACAAATAGAGTTGGATCACAGAAGCACCAGATGTGCAGCAGGGCTGGTAAACAGAGGCAGGATGACCTGTGGATGAGGGAAAGAGGAAAAAAAAAAAAAGCAAGCAAGCAAGCAAGCTGGGGGAGAATACGACACCTCCTTTCGAGGCCATGAGTGGTTAGAGCAGCTGCTCATCAAACCACACCCTCAGGGACTCTTTTCAAATTACACTGTGCGATCTAATTGCAGACATTTTCTAATTGCAGCCCTGCTTTCCTCCAGCTGCATGTGGCTGGTAGGTATGACTGCAGGTGGAGGGAGTGGGAGGCCCATCCGCTTTTGGGTTGGATTTACAAAATGTGCCCTAAAATAAGTGCTAGTCTTGGGCTGTATCAATTGCTCTCTGGGGTTCTTATCTTTCTTCATTAACTAGTAGTAGATGAGAAAAAGTAGTCACACCGGAATCCTGTTTTCAAGAAGGTGAAGCTCAGTGAGGGTAAATTCAACCAATATGTTCATCCTGTGCTGTCCATGTTTATAGTCCCCAGTGTATCTTGTCTTTTGAAAGAGCGTGTTAAATGTTTCTTCTATATTTTAAAATGAGCACAACACTGAAAATAAAAGCATATCTAAAAGCTAATTGGAATTAATATGCTGATAAATGCATTATTACATCTATTCCTTAACAGTGATGAATCTGTTACAGAGTATTGACAGTGTTCTCTTACAAAGCAAAACGAAGTCAGAACTGAAAGATTAGAAAGGAAAAAAACAGCAAGCTTCAAAAAACACTACTGACTAGACCTAATAAGGCTGTAGCTGGAAGATTAAACAGAGCAAAGAGTTCCTTCAACAGCTGTCGAGACCATGTGTGTTCACAGAGCTTTCATCAGTGTTAGTAGGGGTTATTCTGTGTGAAGAACAAAGAAGTCTTAGTGCCTGGGCCATGAGGAGAGAACTGGTGGGGAAAAAAAGGCCACTTGGGATATGGCCACAGATTGTGTTAGGCCCTGGTCTGTTTCCCTCCCTCACTTTGAGGAATACCTTAATTGTTTGCAAAGTCTCCTCAACTTGAAACACGTTATTGGCTCGAGAATGTCATGGACTTCAGTTGAACTATTTAAAGAATAAGGTATTGTTCAATAGAGCATGAATAGCACAACAGAAATGTTATCATTAGTAGTTAGAAGATTATATCCTATGATTAATTATTAAACAAAGCGTAGAAAAACATGTCCACGGAGCACTGGATCTGTAATGGATACTGACTGACTTCCATGAATCTACTCTGTTTTATGTTGACAATTTGTGGTGAAAGATAATGAATGAGACATTTTTCATATGCTGAGATAAGGATTTTTTACTCTACCACTCTTGAATCACAGCTTTAATTCTTACTACAAAATACTAATGGTATCTTATTTGTTTTTTTTTTTTTCTAGAGGATTTAGTAAACATATTGGCCATCTCCTTGAGGAAACCAACTGACTTACATTTTGTGTTCAACTGCTTTAAAATGTTCTTCAAGGAAACAACTGTGCAGACAAGATCACAATAAATCCTCTGTTGCAAAAGCAGTGGGAAAAGAGGGTGGCCTTGGTAAGCAGTACTTTCAAAAGAAGTTATGAGCTGTTTGCCAGGCTGTCATGAGTTTAAATAATTATTTCAGATATTCATTCTGTCGGTTCCCACTAAGATAAGAAGTCTTAAGTATAATTTCCTGATGTGGAACACATCAATGATTTATGGCTCTGTATACAGTTTTTTCCTTCTCATTGATAGGCATGAACGAGTCTTTATTCTGTTGAGAGCTGAAAGGCATGTTAGACTGGTTAATGCCAAGTTGGCAGTCAATCATATCAGCCTCACACTTGCTTAAAGGTATGATTTTGTAATTCCTGCCTCATGATCTGTTTGTAAAGTGATGATAGGCACATGTGCAATTAGCACAACAACTTTTGCCAGCGGCAGAAAATCTTGATGCAGGTTGCAGTGCAATCAGTAGGGCCACTGTCCCTTGATGATAGCTGTGCCTATTAATGCTGACTTTGTTCAAGAACCACTTCGGCTAAAAACTCCAGGGAGGTCCTCCCATTAATAGGAAAGGAACAGATTCCTGATTAAAAAAAAAAAAAAAAAGTAGAAAAATGTAATCTGTCATCTTTTTCTAAGAACTTTTTCTATGAGAAACAGAATAGAAATAGAAAGTGAAATTCCTGGTTTGGTTTCACAATGCAAAGAAAAAGGAAGAAAAAGTCAGAAATGGATTATAGCACTAATTTCACTTGGCAGAGACAAGAATAAGCATTCTTTCTTAAAAACAAGAGCTTCTTCCTCTATCTAGCAAAGCTGACCTTATTAGGATTATATCAGGATCCCTGCCTTAATGCAAAGCTCACAGAAGAAAATGTTAAGGGTTATTTTTTTAGATGTTTATGGTTTTTGTGTCAAGCTTTTAATTTTCTGTATGTGGACTGAATTGGTATCACACTCTGCACTGTTACTTGAAGTACACTGAATAAGTCAGTTTTGTGGTTTCCAAAGAATGTGTTGTGCTTCTAGGAATTCAGTCTGGATATTTGGTCCTGCAGATACGGCCTATAACACGTATAACCAGATTGCCAGTTCAGGAAATCACAAGTTTTATATAATGAGATCTAAAGCTGTGAATTATCTTTTACAGTTGTAAAGGAAATAGATATTTGCTTTGAACATTAAAGGTGGAAGTGAGGGAAAAAAAGCATCAGATAACAAGGGGAACGCTGGAAGAGAAAGAAGAAACTCCATCCCAGTTAAAAGTATTTGGCACTATTCAGGTGACAGCTGCTGTAGTGAACACTTAGGGATTATCCTGAGGAGAAAGAGCACATGTAGCTTCCTTTGTGGCACTGCAAATTCTCATGCAAGACAGCTTGCTTGCTCTGCCCCACCTTACATGTTAGACTGTACAAAAGATCCCAAATCTGCAACGGTCTGCTGTTTCTTGAAAGATGGGCTATCTTTTACATGTTAGTAATCAGGCACTCTGAGTTTCACTTTCAGGTTAACGCTGACATGAGTTCTCAGCATTTTATGATCTTTCCTATAAAAATTTAAAAAAAATTAAATCAGAAACTGCATTACTTTCTGAATTTACTGCAAAGCTCGTTTATTTGAAGTATTTCTGGTATTATCTGTGCTAGATAAACACATGAACAGGCAGGCAAAGCATATGTGTTCTCCTAAATACGTTTTCAGGAACTGAATGCAGAGATAGATAGTCCCAATGTACACCATTACTGTAAATTATAATGACAAAGTTAAAATTCAAAAATAAGAAATTGCCAAAAAACATTGTTCATACTAGATAACTCTTTGAAATATCATTCATTTTGTAGTATACAATTCTTGCTCCTTCAGATTTCACTTTTATTTTGTTAATAGAGTGGATTATGTTTTAGGAATGAAAAAAGATACAACAAATGGAAGTGTTTTCTGAACCAAAAAATTGTCATATTTTTCATATACAGTTGTGTAATTTTTTTGAGGAAGAACAAAAAGAACAGCTAATTATGCCATGGAATCAAAATTACATTCCTAAGCTCCCAAGGTTCATCAGCAGTGTTGGATCTTGAAGAGTCACAACGAAGCTTCTATCACTGGAACAAAAAACAAAACAGGGAGAAGTAATATCGTGCCTTTTTATATGGATAAGCCACTGGAAAATAGTGGTTTTCAAATAGTCTGCTGTTCAACAGAGAAACTCAGGAATTCCAACTTAATTTCTGGGAGGACTGTGTGACTTTAGTTCTAAACAGGTTATAAGCCTATGTCTGGTTTTTTCAGATTCTTTCTTCTGTTCTGGCTCCTTGCTCTTTTCGATTCCTTCAGCTCCTGTGGATCCCATCTTCCCCAGCTCTACTTTGTTGCTTTTCCTGTGTTTCTGTATCTCTGAAGCCTGGCAGTCTTCCCTTCCTGTTTCTCAAATCTTTTCATCTGTCCAGCTACCATTTCCTCCTATGTCTCACTGCAAAGACCGGTAAGTTCTGAGAGCACATCTCTTGGGTTCAGAGACAAACATCAGAGATGCTTCCAAGTTCCCAAGACAGTGCAAAGGAAGTGAAGTCCCACTCTATCCCAGCAGTCTCAAGAAAAAGTGTGTGTTAACTTTAGGGAGATAATACAAATATTGGTAGTACAAAAAGAATGAAGAGCAAATCCTTTGCAGTGGGAACGCAGACTCAGCAGAAATTTAGTTTTAAATCTCTCAACAGGAAAGGCTTTTCCTTTCACACCTGACTGTGAAGCCTTGTACAAACTTCTACTACAGTTTTACTAAGTAAGGACTGTGGAATGGATCCCAAGCATGAGCCACAAGTGAATGAATGGAACTCTTCTACACCCAATTGTTTGTATACCTACTCACCTGCTTATATCATATGAGAATATTTTTCTTTTTCTTTTATTATGTTGACTAGCTTAAGTTCCATGGCACACTCAGCAGTTACTGTGGCTAACTGCTGCCTCCTGCTCAAAGGCCTTTCACAAATTGCACAACATACCTTAAAAGAACAGCATCATAGTTTGATTCTCAGTCTGTGAATGCTAGAGAATAATTTATTCATCAGCTTCGTGGGCTGCCTTTTGAGAACTGTACTGTCAGGATTGATTATGAAACAAAAGCACAGTGACGGTTGTTCTTTCTTTCCTTAAAAACAAAAACAAACAAACAAACAAACAACAACAACAAACCATCAAACTGGGGAGTTCTGTCTAATTTTCTTTTTTTTTTCTTTTTTTTTTTCCCCTTTTGCATTTGGAGAGCAGGCTTTTATCCTCCACGTTTTCTGCTTTATAGTAGGACAATGTAAAATCCTGCTATTGGGCCTCATCCTAGCCTTAGCTGAACTCTACAGCTCATGGCACAGGAGATTTTCTCCATGTGAAAATTTTCCTTTTTGCACATAGTTAGAGAATCAGTCATTTCTTGGGCTTGGCTTCCCTCCTTTGCTTTCTTCTCTTTTTGAATCAACTCCAAACATTTTTGCATTAACTCCAAATAGTCATAACCATGAATTATCCCTGCCTCATCTCTTAGAAAAAGCATCAGTTAGGGATCTTATTCTGTTCTCTGCTTCTACCTTTAAAATAAATATACCAGTCAAGACCTATTTCCAAACAGAGAAAACATCAGCTGAAAATTCTTGCACAATCACTCGATCCAATTTTCTTTAAGAAAAATACTCATCCTGAAACTTGTGATAGAATTGTAAAAGTTATCAATAGTTTGAGAGAAAGCAAGTCTGCTTTGCATTTGAGTGACAACGTGCTTCTCATCTGCACTCAGCTAACGTACCTGATTCTGGCCTGGTCTTTATATAGCCCAAGCTTAGCAAGGAGGGTAAAAACTCAGTACTGGCTGTTAGAACTGGCTGAAGCTGCTCTGTCCTTGCAGTGCAGTGGTTTGGTACGTGCTACTACAGCCTGTCCACATTTGTGCCACTTTTAGCTGCTGACATCAGCGCGTGCCAGAAGGGAAATGGTAATTACAGGCAGACTATAGATAGCCATGAACAGCATCTTATCAGTGCTGCAAGTATTTTCAAATGCTAAAAAAACAAAACAAAACAAAAAAAAATCCAAAAAAACAACACCACAAAAACCCACCTAAGCAAACAAAAACCCAGTAACTCAGCCTGAAGACCCTGAGGATCTCACCAAGCTTTTCCCCCTCTGCTGTTTTGAGTTGGATGGAAGGAAGGATCCGGCCAGGCCTGCTCTCAGGGTGCATCCCACGTTCCGAGCTGCTCTGTCAAAGCCATCTGTGCTGAGAGGCTCAATGTGCCCAGCACACACCTGCAGGGTGTGTAATGACAGAAAACTGGGACTGTGCAGGGACGGGAACTGCTGAACGCTGCTCAGCCAAACGTGGGGCTGCAGACCCACAAGCAGGGCGTTCTGTCAGTCACCGCTTCCACATTCATCTCTGACACCAGCCCTAAACCACAGGCAACTGCTTAAAGTGCTCTGAATCTTTCTTCGAGGAAAGTCTGAGACATCAATATTCCTCGCAGCACATCTCAGGAGAAACATCTCCTTCGGCCCCTCACCTCTAACGGACAAAACAGACCACCTGAAGCCACCAGCCGGCTGCAGACAGCGCGCGGAGACTCACAAGCGCGGCTCCCGGCGCCAACGTCCCGCAGGTGGCAATGGGAGCCGCCGGGCTCCGGGCAGCACCCGGACCGCTAGCGGGACCCGCACCACCGCCCCGACTGAGGGGGGCGGGACCGCGCTCTGCCACTCCGCGTGGCCGCCGGTTGATTGACATTCACACCTGCCAATAGGCGCCGAGAGGGCCATAGGGACCTGCCCGTGGCGGAGGCCGCCCCGCGGCAGCCGGCGCGGTGAGAGGTGGCGGCGGCTGGAGAGTGGCCGGGTTGGGCCGTGGGGCTGCCATGCTGCTTCGCCTGGCGGCCGAATTTGACCTGCAGAGGGACGTGGTGCCCTGGCTGGCGGCGCAGGGCTGGGCCGCGGCTCTAGGTAACGCTGCGCTGGCGGGCGCGGGGCAGCGCCGAGCAGAGCCCGCTCTTTCCTTCCCTCCCTTTCACCGCTTCTAGCCGCTGTCCTCCGGCGGGCGGAGAAACCGGGCCTGGCGGGAGTCCCCGCGAGCCGCTCCCGGCGCGGCCTCACCGCTCCTTCCGTCCGGGCCGGGCCGCCTCGAGGGCACAGGGGGACGGGAAATGGCGGCGGGGCGGGCGGCCGACCCGAACTGCGTGGGCTGAGCACGCCTGTCCCGCTGCTGTGCGGGGCTGTGCCGCCCCGAGCTCCGTGGGCTGAGCCTGCCGCCGTGTCTGTGTGTGTGGGGGCGCTTTGCCCTCCGTCAGTGCGGCCCAGGGTGGCGCAGCCGGTGCCCTTGAGGCACTTCTCACGTCCGAAGGAACTTGTGCTCCTCGCGCATCGTTTGGTTCTTCATGCGTAGCCCTTTCTTCCCTTTTGTTCCAAAAGGAATTTTAACGTCCCTCTTTCTTCTGCCCACAGCCATTTCTTGGGAAAGAAAAAGAAACACAAAACCAGCAACACAAAAAAAAAAAAAAGCTTAGCCGAAAATAAAGCAACCGCAACTCCCCTTCTGTGTGTGTGGTAAATAAGTGCTAATTAAAATCGGGCGAGAGCAGGTGGTTGGGAGCAGTGAGTGTGCCGTGTTGGTGGCCCTGTGGTATCGCTGTTGTGCTCGTGGTAGTTCTCATCTGTCTGCAAGGAAGCCGGTAGAGTTCTGCTTTTCTGAAACTGCTGAAGGCCATCGTCTGAACATCGATTTGAACAGCACAATAACCGCGGCTGTAGTAGGAACACGGGCTGGTTCTGCACTGTGTCCAGGTCCCCTGGTTGCTTTTAGTTAACTAACCTACTTCCCTCTTTAAAGGTTTGCTGTCCCACGGAAAGCCTGTGTGGCTCTAAGTCAGAGCATATCAGCTCCTTTGGCTTCATAAACCAAGGTGCTTCCTATGGTGCCAGTGACAAAATCTGTTAACATTTATTTCACGTACACCAAGAAGTACACAGAGGAGCTGTGAGGCATAGGGTTTCCCCCAAAGGGTTTTGAGGTAAAATTCTGAAAACTCGTGTAATCAGTTAGTCTCTGTGTTCATTGTGGAGGTGGCAGGAAGGCATTCACCTGTGCTTGGGAGAGTGACAGACTTTTTATTCAATAATTCTGATAACACAGAATCAGAATTTGGATTGGAAGGGATGTCTGACACAATACTAACGTTTCTGCATTGCATGTTAGCTTCTGTTTGTTTCCTCTGAATGTGATGCTGATGTATTAGGAATGTGTACATGGAAGGTTGGAATCTTTAAAGATTACTTTAAACATCAGAGAAATAATATATAATTATAATAATCAGAGAAATAATTTTGCAGAAAGCAAGTCATTTTTAGGCATCCTGGTGCCTCTGGTCAGTGATTTCAGATATTTCAGTTCTCTGCATTTACTGTTTTATTTTCTGAAGACTTGAAAGCCCTGTGATAGCATGTGAGAATTCCTAATGGCGTGAGAGCTGGGAGTAGCTGTGATCAAGGGAGGGGAGTGGTAGGTGAAGAGAACCAGCTCTCTTAATTCCACTCATTTTTGTATGATTTCCATATAATGGCTTTCAGGAAATCAAAGCACGTTGTCTTGAGCACGTTGATAAGACTTGTTTGCTGGACAGGCAGGTTGGATTGGATTTGTTTGCAGCCCTTCATCTGCTTGGTGAAGCTGTGAGATGAGGAAGAAGTTGTGATTCTGCATGCAAAGCTTTACTGCAGGACTTTCCCAAGCCAGGGATCATTGCCACTTCTCCTTTGGTTACATATTCCCACAGACAGCATATGGCGACATGTAATTTGTATCAAACACCAAGCCAGTAGAAAGTGATGTATTGTTAAATATTGGCTGAGAATTTTCTCTATCCTCCCACATCAAAATTTTTCACCTCTGATAATGTTTCTGAACAGTTTTTTTCTTACCACCACAATCTGCACTAGCAATGTTCATAGTATTAGGCTTGTGAAACTAAGTTTCACAGTGCTTTCTCCAGTTAAGGCTTTGTGGTAACTGCAAAGTAATGCTTGCCTGGAGTTGCAGAGAATTCTTCTTGTTCATATTTACTTGTACATATTTACGCTACCTTTATCTTAAAATCAAGGCCAATCATGCAGCTCTCAAGCTTACTAAGAGCAAAATTTCTTCTTTAAATATAAGTTCCATCCAAGATAAACACGCTTTTGGTGATTACTGTGATGAGAAGAGATGCACTTTTGTTATCTGTGCTATGGTATCTTACTTTTTCTTTTCATTTGCCCCCAGTGTTTTCCTTTCTCTTGTCCTGCATTGCTTAATTCTCTTCTACCTGTAAATATATTGCATGTATATGCAGTTTGGTGTTGTGGCTCTTGTTTTTGTTGTAGAGCTGATCTCTGAAGGCATCATTTATTTCTAAGCATTCCTTAGGGAGCTGGGGCAGCTGACACTTTTCCTCATGCTCCATCTATCTCTGTGTAGTGTTCTGAGGACCTTTTGTTTTGAAGTTTGAGAGTTAAATCACAGCGTAAGAAATATTTGATCTGTTTTTTTTCAAAAGGTAGTCATTTCTGGCATGTACAAATACATATATGTAAAACGTACCTGGTATCTTTGTTTAAAATGTGGCTGTGTATGAGGAACTAAAGTGAAAATCTTGTGCCTTTTGTTATCATTTCAGATACTTCAGAGAATTCATCAGCACTTTACATTGTAAATGTTGAAAGAAATGGAAAAATTATTTATACCTGGAAGGTAAGTCTGTCTCGGAGCTTTGTGAAAGTATTCCTGAGAATATTACTGTGTGTTTGCCTGTATTTCCTGAAGTCCTTGCATGAATTTATTTATTTTTCTTGCAAGAAGGACTAGAACGTAAAAACTTAGGTTGCAGCTTGGACATTTGGGCAATGGGAAAATACCCATCTCCACTTCAGACAAACATTAAGAGGAATGAAGTGGAGAGTAAAGCAGTTGATTTCTGGGGGCCAGAATCTCTCCTTGAATGAAAAACTATTTCCATAACAGATAAAATCTTCATAAGCAACATGTTCTTTCACCCTGAGGTTTTTTTAGGGAAATCTGACTGCTAGATTCATATGCGCTGCTTCAATTAAATATTCAGTCCTACCAGTGTGTATGTTAAGATGCCATATTTGTAACTCTAACTCTGCTACTACCTTTTTGTTGCTTTAAGATGCATCTGTAGCACTTCATGGTGTGTAGTCTCAAGTCACCTTAGCTTATTCAATGTACTGAAGTACTAGAGCTATCCTTTTTATATCAGGTTGAAATTCATGTAGTTCCAAGAAATTTCTGAATGGTTTGGGAAGGTTTTCCCTTGAGGAGACAAGCTGTCGTTCTTTGCCATGCAGCTCAGAGCAATCTGAAAACTCGGGTGGATTCTGCAGGGTCTTGGCTCTTGGAAAGCACAAAGTGGAGATAGTAGGCTCCAGCAGAATAGAGCTGCTTTTCATTCCCCTCTCTCTCAACTCTCCAGCTTACCTAGGGTTAAGGGAAGAGGTGAGGCCTTCATCGAGGTATAGCAGACTTTAACTGTGGGTGGCTGTTTCCTTTAGTACGTGCCTAGGGAGGAGAATCTGTAAGACAACAGTAATCATAAAAACAATACTGAAGAAAGTGTCAAGTTTTGCATTGCTTGAAGTTCTATCAAGATTTAATGAAACTGATCCATCTAGCTCTCTACGGAGACCTGCATATGTGTGATGTTGCTGCTTTCCAGTGCCAGTGGAATCTCACGCTAAGCTTTGAGTGACTCCTTCCTTTCTTGGGCTTTTGATAGAAGAGTCCAACTGCCTTGAGTGTTGTTTGGGCTTTTGCAGCTGGTGCAAGGGGTGAGATGTAGCTGGGCACCCCATCTCAGCGTGGGTGTCTGCTTGCATGCTGAGTGTTTGAGCTGCCGTTGTAGTTGATGCAGATGTGACAGAAGCTGGAATTTAGAGAAATGGCCACCTGTAGCATCCCATCTCCCACAGCCTTTGGGAGAAGCTGTACAAAGTGGAGGAGGCAGACAAATATTCACTAGGCTCTGTTGACTGAAGTGCCAGAGATGCTGTGGAGGATTCAAATGTGTAAACTTAGCTCCCTGAATCTGGAAGTGAAGTTCACCCAAGGAGTTACAGACATGTTTGCTGTGGCTTCCTGATCTGAGGAATAAAGGGATCTCTGCAGCTGGTGTGATGTGTATAGTTGGATGAGAAAGTCCCAGAGCTGAAGGTAGCAAAGTGCAGGGCTGTGCTGCAGTTGTTACCGCTCACATATCAGCCCTAAGGAGATGCCACTGTTGCTTCTTTTCCTGTTCTTTTACTGCTACAAAGTAATCAGATATTTCTCCTCTTGGGTGAATCAGCTGGCACAAGAACCAGCACCTTGGTTCTTGCTCTACTGAGAGGGAGCTGGGAGTGGAACAGACAGGGACCTGAGTTATTAACGCTGAGCCTTCTGTGCTCTATTAAATGAGCTGCAGAAATACCTTGGGATGGTGATACTTTACAGCAGTACTGAAATACTGGGGCTGATTTTTTTTTGTCTCAAGATTAGAATGGTATTTCTAAAGAGTCTCTTATTGAGAAAAAAAACAAGACAGGTGTTGGTGGGGCTGTGTGTCCACATTTGTCTTTTTACTCTTTACTATTAACAAGGATTCAATGCAATTGTTTTCTTTACTGATACA